TTTTCAGGGTTCGCACACTTTCTCCGATTTAAAATTCCATGACTTCCCATGACTATTTTTTTCAAAATCCATGACCTGGAAGTCTGGAATTTCTGAAATTCGTTAATATTTTAACGATAACAGATATAGTAAAAGAACAAAATTCATTTTGCTCTTGCAAAAATCTGTTATATAACAGCAAATTATTCATATTATTGTTATGACTGGTAAATTGAAAACAGCAATTCATATTATTGTTATGACTGGTAAATTGAAATAAGTAATTTTGATTTTCTAGGATTTCCAGGCCTGGATTTTGGAATATTGAAATTCCATGACTTTCCAGGACCCGTACGAACCCTGTCTTGTGTGAGAAACACTTCACACCCGATGATTATATTAACCCATCGAGTTGCAATGCGCCCTACTTTGTTATTTTACTCTGTCTAATGCCAGACAATTTTACTCATCAAGGCGAGAGCAGTGGCACTTAATGGGTTAACTGGCCTATCTGCCCATGTGTCTAGTTAACCCATTGAGTCGTTTTGTGCCCTATTTTATTATTTTACTCTGTCTAACGCCAGACAATTTTACTCGTCAAGGGAAAGTGCTGATGCCTAAGTCAGCTGTCTCAAGGGGAGAGTGCCTGAAGGGGAGAGTGCTGATTGTGGAGAGCAATCAATAAAAGGCCAATCCAACTTATCCAAGAAATATCTAAACAAAGATGCCGTCCCATCTATTTTTGATTATCAATGATGAATCAACCAGGTTTCTTGGAGAGAACTAGATACTGTGAAGGTTTTTGATGCATACCAGACAAATTAGTCAGTTTCTTCAAACTAGTTTCCATTGAAAACTTTCACTGTCACTAGTTCTCTCTACAAACCTGATTGATTCATCACTTTTCACTGTCCAGGCCATATAGACTAGAGATCCCTTGACATCTGCAGCAGCAAGGAGGTTGTCAAAGTCACACTAAACAGAGCATCAGAATTTTCGCACCAGCAGACCAAATAAATCAAGTAAAATAGGTTTTAACTTCAAAATACTTCACAATATTATTCCCTGTTATATATCCCAGCCGAGATCCTCGAGAAAAAAGCACCCAAAGAACCAAAACCTTTATTTTCTGTAACAAAACTGCTCAACCGACTATGTGATGATTTTCAGATAACATTTAGCGATCGATTATTTCGTCTTTATTAAACTTAAATTGTACAAATATTCATCCAAAACCTTCACACCAGTTAGTTCTTGCCAAAATAAAGTGATAGAACGGGATCGGAAGCTGTAGGACGACGCAAAATGCGAAAAACATGTTTTTCCCTATCTCGCTCTATGATTTTTGCCCGGTTGAGCCGCCATTTTGAATGCTCATGAGTGTCACGCTCGTGTGTTATAGACAACATCAGAGTCAGCAATCTAGGTCTCCTATATCTATGCTTTATTCCAATAGTAGTTACCACTGACCAGGCTCAATTCTGAGCCCACGGCAGTTTTCACCACCCCCCCCCTGGTTTTTGCAAAACATTTTTGCAGATAATATAGTCACAGAGTAGAGACATACAGAGACGTAACTAGTGTACCCACTTTTTTTGTGCGCATGCTCGGCAAGTACTAGATGCATGCATCTGATTGGATGACGAACTGATGACGACTCACTTTAAACTTGCTGAGCACGCGCAGTTGATCATTTTTCGCCCAGTCGCCTGAAAAAAAGTGGGTACATGATAACGTAATCTTCCGCAGTGTTTACAACGATCAGTTACGTCTCTGTATGTCTTATCTACTCTGTGATATAGTTTTCGACTTCTCGTTGTTTTAAATCTTTTTTAAAATGTTTTCGAGATAAACTTTCTGCCTTTGACCATTTGGAAGTCGTACGTGTTTAATTTCGCCCGTGAAAGACGACAAACTAATTTTAAAAACTCAAGAAATGTGGGAAAAGACGATACTTGAAATATATGGATTTACAAAGGTAAAAATGTATTTTCATATTCAATTTTATTTAGACTTTTATATCCTATTTGACATCTATTATCAGACTATCTTTTAAAAGAGGAAATTACGTTTTGTGTCATGCACCACTTATGTATAAGCTGGGGGTGCTGGAAACTGATCTGGGAAGGAAGTTTCTACCTAGCTTTCTTGCATCATTGGTTGGGATACTTCTTGATTTTTGTGTCATATAAATAGTAATATAGAGGAGGCTTGAGATAAATCACACTTTTCCCTAAGCTGAGGTAATAAGGTTTAGCTGAGGCCAAGGCATACATGTGTGATAGCACCTCATTCCCAGAATGGCCTGTTTTCTTACAAGTTTTCTCAGTAAATATCACTCTGAATAAACAATGTACCTTTATAAGTACACTCATAGTTCTGATACCCCTGGTTTAAGTTGAGGAGTATGTTAGGTAACATGGTATCCTTGATCATATGCTATAATTATGTTACTGGTGGATTCTTGTACAACCTGTATAATTAATCTATTCTTTTTTATTGCAGATTTATTCCACAATGACACACTCCTTTCTGGGTGGCAAAATACAGTACCAAGCCACATCTTTGGAAACTGAACATGCTGTATTTTACTTGCTTCCAGTAATTATGTCACCTTGGTAACTTGGTTATAGGCTATAAAGTTATTTTCATGATTGAGACATTGGACAAAAACTCATGCCACATACATGAAAACAAGGCTCCATAGCCAAAGTGACATACATTCTGGAAGGGTTAATTTTGCTATAAAACTTATTTACACTTCAATAAAATTATGATAATCATATAATTATTTATTAATTATAATTAATTGTTATGCATGGTATTGTAATTATAACTTCATTTTGTAATTGTTCTGCATGTTCTTCTGCATGTTGATGCCTGTGCCACCTCTTTTGTATATTAAACAGATCATTTCTGCAAAAATAATCCGACATTATTATCATGATACCTTAAACATCTTTACACCACAAAATATCATATACACATATGTTAACCCTTCAAGTGGCAATGTGTTTTGATGTGCCTCACTGTATTATTTTTGCCTTACTGTATAATACTGATTACTGATATCAGGCAATTTTACTAGTCCATTGATCCAAGCTTCTAAATTAAGTGTCATGTTTTCATATTCAGCAATGCAATTACATTCCCAACTAACTGCTAAAATATGTAAAACTATTATTAGCAAATTTTGTCATAATTTCTCACAGAGCAATCGGACATCACCACTTCCAAACTATGACATCATATACTGTGTAAACTACATAGTTTTATATAGTTCTGAACAGACAATGGTAAAATGTCATCTATTTTTTAAGACTCTTCGAAGCCTTGATGAGTAAAACATCTGGATTTAGTCTCACTATAGAGTAAATAAAACAGGGACCATCGAGCCTGTTTAAAAGGGGAACAGGATAGCATGAGAGGTATTCCACACAGGTAGGCTGTCCAGAATTTATCTGGTAATTTTTATTATCCACCGAAAAACTGCCGAATCCCAGTACGAAATGGGCTGACTATATATCTCAGGGGCTGCTCATTGGCAGATAGTGTATTAAATTAATCCACTGCGAGGCAGCAGTGAGCAGTCTCCTCTTAAAATCATCTGGCATTAGACAGACAGAGTAAAACAATAAAGACAGGACTTGAATAACTTAGATTCTTGCACTTTACTTGGTGGAATTAATTTTAGGATGTTAGGGTTTGTAATCCAAGTGAGAATATATACATTTTAAGACCTAACCAGGAACGACTGCGAAAAATGCAGCACAAGGTCCTCTGGTAGGAATTGAACCCACGCCCCTGCGATTCCGGTGCAGCGCTCTAACCAACTGAGCTACAGAGGCCAGCTGTTGAGCTGTAACCGTAAGTTCATGTATATATAAGTAATCGGGTGTGCGGGTTGTGATAAGGTGGACTTGAATAACTTAGATTCTTGCACTTCACTTGGTGGAATTAATATTAGGATGTTAGGGTTTGTAATCCAAGTGAGAATATATACATTTTAAGACCTAACCAGGAACGAAACATTCTTCCAAACAGAAAAAATTCGAGCTGCAAAGACTTGCCCAAAGGCCGAGATATATGAGAGGAAGGGTGTATTTATAACTATATATAACTAATTAACTTAATAAACGTTAAGAAATAATGTGCCTATAGTGATGTACGATCCTGTACGGTGCTTTTTTAAGGAATTTTCATGGGGAGAAAAGGAAAAATTCGAGCTGTATTTTGTACTTTCAGCTGCCTAGTGGAGGTATCGTGCAAACCCAGAAAATTTTGAAAATTGATGGTCACATGAACATCTTTTCTGAACTTCTGGGCAGTTCGGACCAATTGCTGAGCTTCCTCTTCGTGTACGCGTAATATCAGTTAAAGCTCAACGTCCCAATCACGAAAACGAGGCTCTATGGCCAAGGTGACGTACTTTCCGGAGGCGTGTATCCCCCTCTCTCCCCCTCCCTAAGTTATCATAGTTAAAGGCTATGATCCAGCATGTGGAACGGCTGATAATGCTATCCAAATGAATGTGTGTTAAATAAATTTAAAGTGCTTTTTGGAATGAACACGGCATGGAATGAGTTGTTTAATTATAATTTCACCTGAACTGAATGTGTGAAGAATTCCCTCACCAAACGTACAGGACTATAGGTTATCTGACTAAACTCGCATTATTTCGGTTAGCTAATAGTGACGTTACAATGTATCTACAGTATACAAGTAATATGACTTATATGAAGAACCTCCATGTAGCAAAAATAATGTAGAACTGACAAACTATCGAGAAGAAATGCATTTAGTTTAATTTAAATCTCCTCTATTATAACACAGGATTTGAAAAATTAATTTCTGGAGATTCCTTTTGTCGATATCTTTTGGGAGTCCTGCATGGAGAGTCTTAGAAATTAATAGCGATATTTATAGGTATTTCAGTGACTTTCAAAAAATTCGTAGTGCATATTGCGAGTGATACGCCCAGAATATGTTTCTTTTTTTCTTTCAGCGGCATTACCACGGCAATGTCGCGATCGTCAAATAGTGAAAAGGAATGTAAAGGTCCTCAAATGCGTTGGCGGCAGGTTTGTTTCCTGCAGAGTCAGGAAAGAATTCGTTACAGGTCTGACGTATGAAGAACGAGTACACTACATAACAACCGTTAAGACCTTGGTGTCTGACGAGCGTCATAAATCAAAATTTGAAAATCTGCTAAATGTTCACGAAAGAATTTATTTTGTAGATGATGATTTTATTAAATATTTCCTGCCATGGCATCGTTGGTTCACATTAGAATATGAAAATCTTTTACGACAAATCGATAGTCAAATTGTCATACCCTACTGGGATTGGAGTCTTATGGGTGGTGACCCTTTCAAAAGCGGGCTACAGACGACAGCGGATTTGGTGGAAATGGTAACCCTCCTGGAGAGTGTGTTGACACGAGTCCGTTCCGAGAAGGGGAGTTCTCGCTAAGCCGGTCAGCCGGAGGGGGATGCTTGACGCGCAACTTTAAATGTTATTTCCCCAACGCTGTTCACGTTCGAACATTACTCACTAACATCGACCTTATTGAATTTGAGAGCTCAATAGATGGTATCTTTCACAACGAAGTTCATAATAGCATAGGAGGGTTGATGGCAAGAATGGATGCAGCTTCGGCGCCTGAATTTATCCCACATCATGGTTTTATTGACAAAATTTGGTCTGACTGGCAGAAAAGGGGGAATAATGAGACATATTTCCAGGATATCGAAGAGGTGCTGCCAGGAACGAATTATTTGCCAAGGGAAATGCTAGACCTGGAACATCTGCCTGGGGGTATCTGTGTGGTGTACGAAGACCCGAAAAGCGTTGTATTCGAAGAACTCAGATGTTAGTAAAAATCTAAAACTAGGGGACCCAGTGTTACGAGCCGGTCCCTATACTATTTTATCTGGCCGCTCTGGTTCTGTTTACTCGCAACGAAAGAATGTAAATCTAAGCATTTTACTTTTTTGATATATATATTTTACTAACAAAGCAGTTATTAAGTTATATGATAATATGGTTAATTAGGCTATATGTTAAAACTTATCTGTCCGAGTGAGCATTGCAAGAAGATATCCATGTTGTTTTCTTTCTACGTTAATATCAGCGCGTTAAAGCAGCTTCGTCTTCGGCCATGGAATTTTCTTGAGAGCACTGATGCGTGAAGCTACTTTTATACAGTTACTCAGAGGATGACTTTATCATCTTGACGCACTTCCTATATACGCAATATTGTGGTCGTTGCCTCGTTGGTAGAAAGTTCTCCGACCACATTCATGTCCGTTGACGTTATTTGTGGACAAGGCGTTTTCTTTAATCTTTAGAACTACTTGCTTACTCATGCATGTAAGCTATTTGATATAATAAGTATAAGATATATAGTATAATATATGAATAGTATAATAATATTTCATATATGTACATGTAAAATTACATGATATTGCTTATCATGTTACACCCAGTTTGGCCACAGTCCTTGTTGGATTTCAGAAATACCCTTGTGCAATCTAAACATATAAACAAGACGCTCTACTAAGCGCTATTTGCTAGGGGTATTGCATATATGCGGTAACATGAAAAAAAATGATAGTGATTGCTGTCTTTTGTTTGTTTAATATGTCTTCATATCAAGTTGTTTTAATATGAAGACTTGAGATACACAAAAGTCAGAAATGGGATTCAAGCAGTGGCATGCTGGCTCCTATTCCTTGCAGCAGGCCACTCGAAATATGGCTCCATCGTTATAAAATTTCCAGAATATGTGTCGATAGGGAAGGGGCAAAATGTTTTCGAAACGTCTTCTACCACAGTTTAATACGCGCCGCGCGCTCTTTCGATTTACTCATTGGACCAATTAACGATTTTGGTTTCATTTAATGCATTGTTGGCACCCCCTAAAAACTTTTGCCCCCTTAAAATCCCTCAAAGGGGTGTCATGCGGTCCCTCCCCTTGCTAGCACGTCACTGGATTCAAGAAGAATCAATACGAGGTCCGAAACAAAATTTCTCAAAGGAAATTAAACTTTTAGGGAATTTCAAAGAGGTGAGAACTTATTATAATGCATTGAATATCAGCAAATAATGACAAGAAATATTCAACACTTTATGATCAAAATCCATCAAACAAGATGTCATATTTTATTGTATAAATTAATGCCGGTCCAAAGAATTCAGTAATGTATCGTAACAAAACAACAAAAACATTTTCGTGAGATATTACAGGGGCGGATTTAGACCGTTGCAACCGTAGCATATGCTACGGTCAGATTTTCCCTGAGATATATTTTTCCAGGTTGTACCTTTTTTAAAGTTATTAAAAACTAAAACGTTATACTATTTTTAATTGCCGTTATTTTCAATTTTTCATTGAAACTTGGTGCAATTTTTTTTAAATTTACTAAATCATATTGATACAATTTTATCGAGTTTTTATTTCATTTTGGATAATTAAATTCGGGTTTTTCTCAAATTTCCGCCCGAAATACTGCCTGTATTTGCGGGTTTTGCACTAGTACTATATCACATCGTTCTGAAGTCATAGCATTTGCTTCATTGTGATTGGCTTGCTTCGTCTAACCGTAGCAAACCAATCATAGCGCTGTATTTGGAAATTTTTGCAGTGGTCAGATTGAAACTGACCGTTGCAAAAATTCGCAAATACGGCGTGCTGATTGGTTTGCTACGGTCAGACGAAGCAAGCCAATCAGAATGAGGCAAAATGCTACTGTTTGCAATAGTCGCATCGACTTCAGAGCGATGCTGGCTTGTTATTGTCGTGTCGGCTCCTCGTTGTAATCGAATAGTCGGTAAATTTTAATCGCCGCTCGTTCCAAGGAGAAAGATATGGCGGCTTCTACATGACTCCACGATCTTCTGTGTATAATGAACGAATGTAAACGTGTTTCATTTAACGAAAAGGTGCGCGAAAGAATTCTGATCGAAAGCTTTTGGTGTGCGATTATTGGCATAATTTGCATTTCCCGCGATGTGAACTGTGAAGACAGCGCTGTTTGAATCACCTCCGTGTCAGGTCAGTCTCATGAATAGTATATTAAATATGTAAATAACATATCGAATTTTACACAGTTCATGCGTCTCGAATATATTACCATATATTTGCTGATGAAACGTATCATTATAAAAATGCAGAACAATATCAATGGCCACTCACACTATTTGATAGCCATTGCCGGCATGCCATGTGTGTTTATATTAAGAAATATGTTAGTTAATCTCCTATATATTTTATATCTTAGACTTTGCTCATGTAATTATTAGTTGTAGACCTGTAGTCTACAAAGACTGGTGAGTAGTGTAAATGAAATTTATAGAAATAGTTACACTCCGATATATTATATTGTAGTTTACATGTATACTAACAGAGTTTAGAATTACAACAGCTGAGCCTGCTTCCTGGGATAACGTATCATAAATATATGGTTAGCTGTTTCAAATCCATGTATTGTATACCTTACTTGTATTAAAATTCGCGTCGTATACTCATTTTCGTTCAGCTTTAAATGCGCATTCCAATTTCGCGAAACTTGTTCGCGCAGCTTTAAATTCGCGCAAGTAATTTTCCGTGTTGGTTCCTTTTGGTTTGATTAATAGAACTATAACAACAAATACTTCAATATTTGTCAAAACAAAATTCATGATAACAGTAAAGCCTGGTTCACATATGCCTGCGGCATACCTGCGACTGTATCATTATGCCTCTACTTGCCGCCGAAATACCGGCAAAGTTGAACTCAAGTCTCAAGTCAACTTTCCCGGCCTACCGCCGATGTATTAACTGTGGCACTGGAGGCAATCGGCGAACAAATGTTCACATAATTTACGTTTTAAAGCTACCATCGGCATCGTCGCCGGTACGTCGCAGGCATATATGTGAACCAGGCTTAAAGCGTATAAAGTTCAAACTTCAAAATGTATGGTTTTCATTTGCCTAATACAATAATAATAACTAATTTTATTAGCATCCCATATATTATAGGTTCGTATATGGTATTGCCTTACATTATATTATTTACTAACAACGAGTGAATATTACACCGCAAAGCTTTTCGCGTGGATTATATTTCCCGCAGTACTAAAATTTGCGCACCCAGCTCTGCGCGAATTGTAATTGTGAACTTTATTTACCCACGGTAGACTTATCAGGATTTTACATAAAAGATGATAAGAGAATACAATATAGTTACAGATTACAGAATATAAAAGTTAATTAAGATACTAATTATGTATACATACTATAGTAAGTAAGTAAGTAAGTAAGTAAAAACTTTATTTGTCTACGCTAACCCCTACAGCAAGAGCTGATTTCCATGCAAGAGGGGCGTAGGTTTAAAAATACAAACGTTACACTTACACTCAATTAGGATAAATATATATACAAGACTAACACATTACAATACAATTATACAATTATAATTACTCCACTATGGTCAAATAAATAAAATTTCATAGAACATTTATTTCTTAGTCTATCTGGGAGGCCATTCCACAATTTTGCTCCTCTATAACTAAGACCTTTTTTAAGATATTCGGTCTTAGGTTTGGGCAGATAGAGATTTGTGGCATAACCTCGTAAGTTATAATGTTGAGACGAAGGCGTCTTTTGAAACATATCAATTAGTTGTTTGGGCGCTAGATCGTGGGTTATTTTGTACGTGAGACTTGCTACAAATTGAGTTCTGCGTTCTTTCAATGTTTTCCAGTTTAGTTCATTTAAAGCAAGTTCAGATTGGCCGTGTTCGTTTTTACGACCCGTAATTACTCTAGCAGCCCTATTTTGTAATTTTTGGAGGCGATCAGAGAGTGTGATACCAATAGTATCCCAAACTTCGCAGCAGTAGTCGAAGTGGGGCAATATAAGTGCGTTACTAATTATATATTACAAGAATACCTGTTTTCCATAAGTGCCGTGCTAATATATTAATATAAAAATCTAAAATTATTGACTAATGTATAAAGTTGCTGCAGTCTGACTTGAATTTACGTAATGAGTTAGACTGTCTCAACTCAACTGGAAGGGAGTTCCACAGCACAGAACCACTATAGCTAAAACTATTTTTCAGGTAATTTGTGCGTGGTTGAGCTAAAGCTAATTTTCTACTGGTATCTCTCAATGTATAATTTGTTACGCTACTTCGATCAACAAACATTTCAGACAGGTAGTCTGGCACAAAACCATTATGAGATTTATAGACCATTATAGCTTTGGCAATTTTTCGCTGAGATTCAAGGTTTTTCCAGCTCAATTTTTCAATTAGATATTCAGCATTTGTATCATAACTAGATGAAGGAAGTACTCTAGCGGCTCGATTTTGGAGTTTTTGCAGTTTATTCGCAAGAGTACTGCCGCAACTATCCCAGACAACGCAACAGTAATCGAAATAGGGTTGAACTAAGCAATTGTAAATAAGTTGCATTGTGGACGGTGGGACGAATGGCCTTATACGCTTTAATGCACCTATGCCAGAAGCGACCTTTTTGCATAATTTCTCGATATGAACATTCCAAGTCAAGGTCTCGTCTAAATGTACACCAAGTGACTTTGTGTGAGAGACTTGTTTAATTGGTACGTCATATTTAGTACAAATAAACATATACAAATAAACATTTTTCCTAATTGCCGTTGTGCTGCTGTTTCAAGATGATCTACAAATAAACATTTTCCCTATAACTTGGAGATAATCTATATACAGTACAGAAAATATTTCAGTTTCCTGACTGCCAAAAGTTGTCCTGCTGTTTCGGGATGATCTATATATGCTGCTGCTTAGCCAGATAAACATTGTCCCTAACTGTCGTTGGGCCGCTGTTTCAAGATGATGTACATTTGAAAACTTTCGAACTACTGTTATCTTACTTTTTCAAGATAATCTGTTGTTCGAAGTGGTATGTTGATGAATAAATTTTGTAACTTTTGTGCGTTTTTTTTTTATTTTGGTGTGAAAAACAGCCACTTTTCTACAAATTTTAAATCTAATTTCGATGCTCAGAATGCAGGAAATGGTACTTGCGGGCTTCAAATTTCAAAAATTTTCTGGGGGGGCATGCCCCCAAACCCCCCTAGGTAGGGCGTGGCCTTCGGCCCCGCATGTTGATTTCATCCAAAATGCTACGGTCAGATTGAGACGCTGAATCCGCCCCTGTATTAAAGAACTTTTTCTAAGACTAAGGAAATGAGTGCAAAAAAAGTGCAAAGCCTCAATTTCTGCCGCTTTATTCAGTTTTAAAATTCACATTTCTGGCGATATTTTGTTTTTTCGCGGGTGATTGACTTTGTACAATAAAGATTTATTCAATAAAATTTTTATTAAATAAAGATATTTATTAACTCGGTATTTATTAGCCTGCGTAGCAGGCGTTTAGTGCGGTCGGGAGAAGAGAGGGCGTAGCCAGGCTTTCCAAAATAGGACTTAGTAATAGTCACCAAGGAAATCGTTACCATGTTGAACGAGTATCCGGTTTTTTTCTTCTCTCTGGCTATGACTAATGTGTTTTTGCCCATTGGTCAATATTGTTGACGGAAGTAGTAAATCAAATGTCAACATTCAACAATAATTTTGCCCGCGTGGCCGCGTATATATTCTCATAAAAAATGGCTGTTAATGCTTTGGAGGATACTCTTTCTGATATTTCAAGCTAGTCTTTTAGGTTTCGAAATTCAGTTGAAACCAAAACAGAGAAAGTCTATTATTAATTTGCTACGTCACGGTGAAGAGGTTATCGCGATTTTTCCTACGCTACCGGATACAGAAGAAGTTTGATCTTTCAATTATACATTATCGCTAGGTGCCGAGCAAAAAACATGCATGATGCTAAATATAAATCTCTACTATGATTGGTTAATGGGTGAACCGGTGAAGGTGCTAATTACAAAACGTCAATCACCCTTAATGGGCGAAAACACATTAGCATAGCCATTTGGGCAGGCGTTTCCTCAACGACGCCCTCTCTTCTCCAGCCCGTATACTAAACGCTTGCTACGCAGGCTAGGTATTTATTAACTCGGTATATTTATTACCTTTTTTAACTCGGTATTAACTTTTTATTGGTCTGTACAGAGAAATATTGAACCTCGGTCTTTTTGTACAAACCTGGCCCTACGGGCTCGGTCTGTACAAAAAAGACCTCTGTCCGATATTTCTCTGTACAGACCTCACGTTCGGTAAATAAGAAGTTAGTAATACTGAACTAGTAAGAAATTTACCAGACCTCCATAGAAAAACAGTTTATAGAATTGATAGAGCTATTCAGCATATTAAATACTATATAAGTTAATTAATTTTACTTTGAGTTTCTCCTATAATAACACTGGAACAATAAGAGATGAGCGTTACCGGGCGTCCATAAGGAGAACAGTTTATGAACTGATGGAGCTGTCCCGGCATTCATTAATAATGGTACAGTTTAATATAGTTTTAATTCGTGTCTCCATAATTTATGTCATTTAGGCCTCTCATTTAGTGAATTGCGAGACATTTCAGGTTTGCCTATACCCACAGTCTCAAAAGGGGCAAGAGACGTATTCCATTTGCCTCCCTGGAAACTTCAGATAATTTCTAGGCTCAGAAAAAAGATGCAACCAAAACATATGTTGCACAAGAGCCAATTGAAAGGTCTGGATGCAGAACTGGGCTTCAGGTTTAGAGATTTGAAGAAAGTCAGAGGTAAGGGACTTGTCAGAAATTAGCAGGGGGGGAGGGGGGGTGGAAAACAGGGGAGGGTCATAATTTTTTGAGCCCTTCAAAAGGGAGGGTCATGAAAAAATAGACAGCAAAAAAGGGAGGGTCACGAGAAATTAAGCCATTGTGATCATAAAGAGTTTTTTAATATGTTTAATGTTTATATTTCAAAACTACAAAGCTATTGAAAGTATAAATGTAAACAACCCAACTTTTAATATAAAAAAGGGTTCCATATCAATGGAATTCACGAATTGATTGACAAAGTTGATGGGGACACCACAGAAAATGCAAATTGTCTTTGGGCACATCTAGAGAAAGTTAATGTCCTCTGCAAGACAACAATCACATTCATTGGAAGCCTACAATTGCCACCACTTTGTGACTACATTCTTCAAGCAACTGATGCTGGACCAGGCGTTGGTGTTTCTAACGTAGAGGTGAAGTACAGAGACGTTGAGATGTCAAGAATTAATGAATGGATGCACATGAATAGGATTCACAGGGCGCCTCACGACTCGAGCCAAAATGAGGCTGAGCGTTCCAACGCTGCCATTGGTGAAGCTTTGGTTGACGGCAGAGCATTAAAGTGGGAATATTTTAAGCCAGCGGATATCATGAATGAGGAAGAATTTAAGAAACTCACTGTTGCTGAGATCAAGAAGCTTGAGGCAGAAACGATGGAGCGTAACGCGTGGAAGGTTTCAGAGGAGGTTGTGTCAAGAATTGATGGTGAGCCTGGTCCTGCAGGGGACTGCATGAAAGCGTTTGTAACAAAAAAGAATGACCAGCAGTTCTTTTTTAACACTGAATACCTGCAGAAATATGCTGGAAAATCAGAAAAGAAGAAAGTTCAAGTCCCTGGGCACCACTACTTCAAAAAAATCGATAGCATTATTGCAACATGCATGAGTTCTGGAGAAATGTTTCATGAGTACTGTGTTGACCAGGCAGTGCCTCCAACTCCTCGTCCAGTTCCAGACATCACCAAGCTCCCAAATTTCCACTACTTACCTCTCGAAGATACACCAATAAGAAAGGAAAATGGTAATAGAAGGGAGGTAGATGATTTCCACCCTAGAGCACGCTTGAGAGCACTTCATAAAGAGAAAGCAATCAATGTAGAGGATGCTTTAAGTGTTAAAGCCTTCTGTAACAAATACATTGTCGAGGAGAACCTTGTAAAGTCATACCTAGAGCATCTAAACCATCTAGAAATGATGAATGACAAGAGGAAAACTGAAACGAGAGACAAAAACTTACAAGAAAACAACATGTCTTGTGAAGATTTTGACTGGCAGAAAATGTTCAACGAGGGAACCTTGGCAAAACAGCATGTTTGCATACTTGACAAGTACATTGAAAAGTATAATCTATCTGCAGTGAGAAACAAGAAAAAAAACAGAGAAAGTCAGTGCTATCGTCCATCATTTACAATATGCTGTTTCTGCAAGTGAAAGTGGTGAAGACCTGGTTTTAGAAGAAATAGGAGAGTCAAGTGATCAGCAGTCAGGATCAGATACAATTTGAACACAGAGGGTTTATTTTGGTTTCCAGTCGTAGAAACTATTATCATCCCTTTGAGTCAAAACCTTTCTTTGTCCTGTTTCTCCAACACGGAAATCACTTGCATGTTCTGAACATCACTTGCGTGATGACATCACAGGTTGTAATTCAAGTTTGCTTCTATTATTGATAAAATTTGCTTCTATTATTGATAATATTGATATATTACAAGTACTGAAACATTTTTCTTCTACCACTGTATCACATATTTGGAGGTAATATTTATCCAGGGGAGGGTCATAGAATTTTAGGACGAGTTCAAGGGGAGGGTCAAGACATTTCAAGTCCTTACCGGGGGAGGGTCATTGTATTTTTATCGCTCGACTGAAAATCTCCACCCCCCTCCCC